ACAAACACATTACAGGAAAAGTACAGACCAATATCCCTTATGAATATGGATGCAACATCCCCCCAAAATACTAGCAAACCAAATCCAGCAACATAATAAAAAGAATTATACACCATGACCAAGTGTTATTTATCCTAAGGATGAAGGGTTGGTGGAACATCTAAAAATCAATTAATATATCTTACCAATAGAATACAAAACAAAAATCACTCAATAGATGCAGGAAAACAATTAGACCAAATCCAGCTCTTTCATGATGAAAACACTCAGCAAACTATGAATAGAAGCCAACTTCCTTAACCTGAAAAAAGGCATCTACTTAAAAACCACAGATAACATCAGACTTAAATGCGAAAGACTGGCTGCTTTCTCCTTAAGATTAGGAACAAGACAAGGATGTTGACTAGCACCACTTCTATTCAACACTGCAATGGAGGTTCTAGCCAGGGAAAAAGACGTAAAAGGCATCCAGATTGGAAAGGAAGAAATAAAATTATTTCTATTCACAGATGGCACAATCTTATTTACAGAAAATCCTAAGGAATCTACTAAAACCTGTTAGAACTAATCTGTTCAGCAAGGTTGCAGAATACAAGATCAATACACAAAAATGAATTGTATTTCTATACACTTGCAATGAAAAACTGACAAATGAAATTAAGAAAACAACTCCATTCAAAATACCATCAGAAAGTATAAAATACTTAGGTATAAATTTAATAAAAGCATAAAACTTATACTATGTAAACACACAAAAAAACTGTTGAAAGAAATTAGAAATCTAAATAAATCGAAAAACATCCCATGTTCAAGCATTGGAAGACCTAACATTGTTAAGATGGCAATACTACGCAACCTGATCAATAGATTCAATGCAATCCCTGTTATAATCTCAGTTGACTTTAAAGCAAATTGACAAGCTGATTCTAAAATTCATATAGAATTGCAAAGGATGCAAAATAGCCAAAACAATCCTGGAAAAGAAGAATAAGGTAGCAGGACTTAACACTTCCCAATTTCAAATCTTACTACAAAGCAACGATAATCAAGACAGTGTGGTATGAGCACAAGGAAGATGGATGGAATAGAATTGAGAGTCCAGAAATAAATCCAAACAGCTAGGATCAACTAATTTTCAACAAGAATGCCAAGACCATTCAATGGGGAAAAAAATAGTTATTTCAACAAATGGTGAAAGGACAACTGAAGAGCCTTGCCACATGCAAAAGAATGAAGCTGGACCTTTACTTCACACCACATACAAAAATTCACTTAAAATGGATCAAAGACCTAAAAGTAAGAGTAAAAACTATAAAACTCTTAGAAGAAAACACAGGAGAATCTTCATGATCTGGCAATGGATTCTTAGATATCTATGACACCAAAAACACAAGCAACAGCAAAAAGTAAACTGGACTTCATCAAAATTAACAACTTTTGTGCTTCATAGGACACTATAAAGACAACCCATGGAATGGGAGAAAAAATTTGCAAATCATATATCTGATAAGGAACTTGTATCTACAATATATAAAGAACTCTTACAACTTAATAATAAGAAGACAAATAATACATTTTTTAAAATAGGCAAAGGATCAGAATAGCCATTTTTCCAAAGAAGATACACAAATGGCTAATAAGTACATAAAAAGATGCTAGACATCACTGGCCATCAGAGAACTGCAAATCAAAACCACAATGAAATACTACTTCACTATCACTAGGATTAGTAGAATCAAAAAGCCAGATAAGTGTTGTCAAGAAGGTGAAGAAATTGGAACCCTCATACTCTGCTGGAGGGAATGCATAATGGTCCAGCTGCTTTGGAAAACAGTCTGGCAGCCCCTCTAATGATTAAATGTAGAGTTACCACATGACCCAGCCATTCCACTCCTAGGTGAATACCCAAGAGAGACAAAAACATATGTCCACACAGAAACATGTACATGAATGTTATACGTCCCTATAGAGAGAGATCTATGACTGCTTGCTCAGTATTGCCCAGTTTCTGGATTGTGCCTGACCAAAGTAGAAGGTTCATTTAGGAGAACCCTACCTACAAGTGAGACATGTAATTACTTTTGTCCCACTCTCACAACACTCGCTTACAACTTTCCCAACTTGTTTATTCCACAGAATTGGAATTCTCATTTTTATGTGAGAATCCTGTGTATTTTGCTGAAACTGGTATCCTGGCCCAAACTCTGGCTTCCTAGGTGGTTTCCTGACATCCTCCCCAACTTATGCCAATACTATAGACCAGCTCATGTATTCTTCCCAGTGGTAAATGAAGACTTATGACAAATATGATAGGAGCTGCACTGTGATTATCAGCTAAACCTTGAGACGGTCTAGGACTGACTATGTGCCAATCACAATGAGCACCTCATAATTCCAAAGCACAAATACTCTACACTCTTTCAGAACTCTGTGGCTGCATATGCAGCTCCCTCTACCTGACATGCCCACTGTCCCCTACTCTGCCTGGCATTGCCTTCACATTTATTCTTCCTCTGTGAAGTGACTCAAGAATTAGTAGCTTCTGTCTCCACTCTGCCTTGGTTTCCTCATCTATAGAAAGAGGTAATAATACTTCCCAGGGTTGTTATGAGGATTAAATGAGAGAATATATAACATGTAATATGCTTATAACAGCATAAGCCCTGCACTCTTTTATTGCTTCTATCTCAATATTTCTGATGGTATCATATTTGTTTACATGCATCTTCCCCTACTGGTCCCTAAGCTTCTCAAAGGTGTGACGTTTCTTATTCCTTTTCGTATTCATAGCATATAATACAGTGCTAGGCACAGGACAGGTACATGAAAGGGACCAATGAATGAATGAAAAATAAAAACTATTAGTCCAGCAACGTCAATGATTATGGAAATCATGCTTTCAAAATATAAATCAGAGCACATGGTTTATATGTTTACTAGAACTGAATATCTGAAATCAGGCCTTCTCTGGAAAATCCAAGATGTTTGATTGCCAGAATGATCTAGAAAGAATCCAAAGGCTCAGCAGTTAGAGTGGTTACATAAATGATAGTATTAAAGCACAAAGGATTTTACATAAACCATAACAGGAGACCTCTGTTGATACCTGAAAGAGTCTGGACAAAACATAAAGCAGAAAAAGAGAGCAGAGGAGTATGCATGAAAGGATTACAGAGCTGTTCAAAGAGTGATAATCAGAGAGCAGACTTTTGGTGTATGTATCTAACACTACATGGTGAAAGAACCTTTATATTTTTTACGTTACTTTGATTATAAAGACAGCTTAATATAAAAAAAAATAATAATGCTTATAATGACTTTACATAAAAAAGAGGATGGGGCCAGCCCGGTGCCACAGTGGTTGGGTTCACGTGCTCTGCTTCGGTGGCCTGGGGTTTGCCAGTTCGGATCCTGGGCATAGACCTACGGGCTGCTCATCAAGCTATGCTGAGGCGGCATCCCACATAGGGCAACTAGAAGGATGTATGACTATGACATACAACTATCTACTGGGGCTTTGGGGAGAAAAAAGGAAAAAAAGGAGGAAGATTAGCAACAGATGTTAGCTCAGGGCCAATCTTCCTCAAAAAAAAAAAAAAAAGAGGATAAATCGAATGGAGATTCCAAAACTTTTAATCCCTTAAATAAGACGCAGTGAGAAGAAGTGTCAAGCTTCTCCATTACTATAACTCTCTGAATAGAAAAGCCTCCTGATAAGAAAAAAAAAAAAATCCATACAATCCAAATTCTCTTATTTCATAAGTAGACTTTTAAGGGCCGTCATTTGTTTTGTTCATGTCAGGGACAATCAATAGTTTGATTACATTAATATTCAAAGTTCTTCCTAAGTAAGTCTTCTCCCTTTGGTATAATTAAAAAATGAAATCTAAAATGTAGACATATTTGCCCACAAAGAAGAAAGGTCTTCAAAAAGTTTTTCATTCATTTTTCCCCAAAGAGTTCCCCCTAAAATTAGAGCCCAACTCAGAGAAAAAGAATACTATACTTGCTCAAAGCACATAGCATATGTTTTTCACTTAATATCAGCTTATTTTACACATATATGTCCTCAGATATATACATATCTATATATACATATCCATACACACACAGAGAAAAGTTGAGTCATGAATCCACCTCTTCAGTTATCTTCATAGGAGTCAATGAAATAATGCCAGCAATTGCATCTTCAAGTAACCAGGTGACGATGACTAACTTGACTCTAACAAACCCAAGATGCACTCCCCTCAACACCTCCATCCTCCCTGCCATCAACATTTCTTAGATAAGGAAAGGAGACAGGTAAAAAGTATGTGTAGGAATTTACTCCACATATTTTCTCTTCAAAAAAAGCAAAAAACTGCATTATCCCTGAATATTGTTCCAATCACTGAACAAATAACTTTCCTTAAAAACACATTTCAACAGTCTAAACACAGCTAATTTTTTTTAAAAATTTAAATTTTCTAATCAGAATTTCTCCTCACCCACTTCATAAACACTTTTGCCTAAAGAGCAATCTGTCAACACAGGCAGTTTAAATCATTAACTACACAGCACCAAATCATTAGTACAATCAGCATGCAAATTTCATAAAGGCGCTGATTGTGTCCTTTTAGGCGTTTTATATAATATCCAGTACAAGAAGCTTATCAAACATTTATGATGTTTAATAATAAAAACAAAATGCCGAAACAAAAGTCTTTAATATTATTCAACTTGGCTGTCCTGTATAATATAAACAGCTGATCAGTATCTGTTTCTCCAAGTGCAATTATAAGAACTCGAAAACAAACCCCATTCAAATCAGAAATTCTCTGTCTTCTCTGTCCAAGAAACTTCTCTGTTTCACTTTTGCATCAGAAAGAAACTGCCAGGCCACCAGCAGACAGCATGCAACATGCAGATTGTTGGGATATTTATTCTAAGCATTTATACACCATTTATAAAGCAAAAAGCCTACTACGTTTCATACACATTTCTGGAAATATTTTCCTTACCTTTCCCATTTTGCCATGTAGTATACCAAGATAAAGTAAGGAACGAAGTGATAAATGCTAAAACAGTGGCTACAGTTCCATTTCGGAGCCTCATCTCATTTCACCATCACACTGGTTCATATGTTTATGATGACAACCAAGATTGTTTTCTTTTTACCCTGAAGTCAACTGAATGCAGTACTCCTAGCTCTGGGCCAATAAAAAGAATCAATAAGAGAGGTTCATTTCAGATGCTCTGCAGAACAAGTCTAGCAGCAACACCATTCACAATTACTATTCAGGATTGTCTTCACAGTCTTCATAGGTTGATGTCTCAAGTTTTCATCCTATTCAAGAGGAAAAGAGAAAGAAAAACTTGTTCAGTAATGCAAAATATTGGTTTCTTCATTTATCAGTCACCATTATAAACAGACTTTTGGCTGGGCTAAACTGCATCTATAAAGATTATCCCCATATCTAAACCAGTCATTTAATATACTAGAATTATATGGTTCTTCTCTGCCAGGGAAAAAAGCTTCAAACTATATCCCCTCCTCGTTGGTTCTTTTGTCTGTGAAAAGAAAGTTATGGTTACTTATTTAAAGGGAGAAGTTGTGGGACTCATTAAACATATAGTAAGCCACAGATTCCAAGCTGAGAACTCTAATGATCACACAAGGGTTCCTGAGTAACATAATCTTTACTCTCCTCAGTTTTCCTATTGCACAATAACAGTGTTTAAAAATTTTTAAGAAAACTGACAGACTACAATATATAAGGGTCAAAAGACCCGGGTCCTAGATCCTGCTCCACCATTACTTACATGACTTCCAGTATGTCACTTATGTAGGTTTCATCCACAAAATGAGAAAACACCCTGTCCTGGTTCCTCTTTCACATGTCATCATAAATAACAAAAAGGTTACAGTTATTATTGCTATTTATCATCATTATAGAATGAACGCAGTTTTTCCAGTGATTAACTTACTCCCAGCGTGTAAATTGGGACTATTTAGGCATTTAGAAAATGCAGGATATGGTACGACCTAGGACCCATCACTTAGCATTGCTTTAGCTCAGGATATCCAGATCACCACCCATCTAATAAAGCTCTTGAGAAAATGGAATGAAATGAAGTAATTAGAAGTACTTAAGTACAGTCACCTAGCATATAACAGATTCTCAATAAATGTTAATTGTATTAAAAAGTAAAACCAAACAAAAAAACTGCAGCCAGCCACTGGTTGAGTGCACTCTAAGCACAGCGGGTCTTCTTCCCTGGGGGCATGTCAGGCACTCTGAGATGTGCACTGATTCCTGGTGGCCTCAAGGGGACCACAATATACTAAATGACACTCTAGCAGGGTGAGTTAATGCACCTCCAGAAATGCCTAACAAGCCCAAGGGACAATTCCCTCAGTAGAAGAATACGGCTAATTAAAGCAGCCATTTGTGGGCAATTCAGAAACAACCATCTCAGCTACTTTGTAAAACTGAACATTACTAGAAATCTCCCCTAGTGAACAAAGATCATTAGGACATAGCATTAATAATAACAATGCCAGACATACAACTCACTGAGGGTTTCCTATGTGCTGGGTCCACTACATGTTATTAAATCTTCACAAAATCCTACGAGGCAGGCATTACAAGGAAATGAACCCAAATAGATAACCCTAATTTGTTGGACTTCAAAGTCCAAGCTCCTACCTACCACCCTTTGCCTCGCAAACTAGGCCACCTGCACTGTGGCAGTATGAAGAAAAGGGCCAGGAATTCTCCAAGTCTCAGGTTACCCTGGAGAATCTTCCCGGGGTGTTAACTCTACCCAATAGTTTAAATGTAAATTTTTCAAAATGTTATATTCTATAACGAACACGGATCTATTATGGAATAAGCTGCAAAATTCACAGGAAATTTCAAAGTTTAAACTTAAATTTCTCACTTCCTGTGGCCTTTAGCTAAGCCCTCCTCTTCCCCACACATACCCCCAACGCATGCCTGTTAACCCTCCAGGCCCAGCACCTCTAACTGTGGTATAATATTCTAGAAGCAATGAACCCCCCTACTTCCTTGCTTCCTCTTACTATCTGAAAACAAGGAACTCCAAAGATATTCTCACTTACAAGTTATCATCATTGTTTTCTAAAACCAAAGTTATTTACCTTTTATAGTTAAGACAAGTTGACATCAAACATGCCATGTCTACAATTCAAAATCTTCAGGGTGAAATCCTATAATTTCAACTAAATTCCAGAAAGTGCCTAATATATTGTCTGATATTAATAAGCACCCAATAATGAGTTCTGATTATAAAAAAAGAAGTGATAACTCAGTGAATTATATAACTTGGAATTTAATCCTGCTATGGCATTAGATAAAAACGCATATAACTTTCTATTGCTATATACTTAGCCCTACCTTACTTCAGGAAGGATTCTGTGCTAGTAAAAAATCTAAAAGTATACAGGTTATTAGAGTAAACATTCAATTAATAATCATGGGGAAGCAGAGAAGCAGATAATCATACAATAAAGGATATTTTAAAATACAGTTTTATTAAATACAAATAAAGCCCATATGACAAAATTCAGTATGAACTCTCGGCACCAGCCCAGCCGGGTAGTGGGTGGGTTCGTGTGCTCCACTTCAGTGGCCCAGGGTTCACAGGTTTGGATCCTGGGCGTGGACCTACACACCACTCATCAAGCCATGCTGTGGCTGCGTCCCACATACAAACTAGAGGAAGATGGGCACAGATGTTAGCTCAGGGACAATCTTCCTCAAGCAAAAAGAGGAAGACTGGCAACAGATGTCACCTCAGGGCCAATCTTCCTCACCAAAAAAAAAAAAAAAAGTGAATGAACTCTAAAATCAAGGTAGACTATGGATACACTATTGATAACACACGAAAAACATAAGGAACATTAAGTATTGGATTATTCAGCTCTGGTTTGAAGAAAATACTTATCTCGAATTCTACTAACAAATAAGACCTAAAAATTCCTCAAGAGAAATATGAACATATTTTACTCAGTAAAAATGTAGTCATACATTTTTAATTAGGGTTTCCAAACTAATGAACTTTAACTGCACATTACAAGTGAAGACTCCAGACAAGAGCAAAACTAATGATCTCCATGCTCTTAAACCAGAAGAGGCAGTTAACAGACTAGACTGATTGACTCCCTAAGGCAAGAGACAAAATGATGTGTTTTTTTTATTTTTTATCATTTTTCATATTTTTATCAGTGTCTACATTTGCAAAAATTTTAATCTAACCCCTTAATACTCTCTGAGACTATCACTTAATACATCTGAATCTTGAACAACAAAAAAGGTAGTGGCTAAAATTACTAGTCATCTTTTCTGTCCTGACAAAGATGAATGGAACTTTCAACTCTAGATCTCAGACTGAAAAATCTGTCTTATCAACAGTCCTTTAAGGGCTGTAGTCCCATATTTCATTATTAGATAGAAAACCTTTATTTTAAAGTGTTCTTTGAAATATTCAATATGTTCCCTGGCTGAGAACACTCTGCTGCACATTTGGCATATTTCTTAATTACCATCCCACAGACAGGACAGAGGTGCCTAAATCATGAAAGGCACAATCATGAAATCCACGGCATAAGCTATACAACTTTATACACCGCAACTATATTAAAATTCTATTATTTTACATTTATAAAAGGATTAATTTTCTTTTAATACAGCTTACATAATTCCATCTTCCAGTGCGTTTTCCGATTGACACGTGTGGGCTGAAGAAACCTATGCCACGATAACCTGTTCATAAAACTATTCTTTCTAAACATTCAGAAAAAGAAACCACAAAATGCATATTATTTGATTCTAAATTTAGATCTAAATTCAAACGAACGACGCTGTCATTATTTTTTATCAGAATTCGTACGACAGCAAAAGCACAACAGTAAAATATATGGGAAGCATTAAAAACATACATTGTGCCTGTTTATATTTCGCAATTTGGATTCTAAGCAACGAACGGGCTCAGAGAAACACACGCTGTGAGAAATAAAAGCGGACTCCGAAGAGTGGTATGACTGGCAGCTCATAAAACACGCCTCCGGGATGTCACCTGGGACTTAGTGGAATCACCTAGACCCAACCCAAGGGTCCCACCTGCAGCTTCCTCATTAAGGGGGGACCGAGGCCTGGGGGGATGGGGTTGCACTTTCACACCGGACCACCAGGTCTTCACTCAGGAAAATTCGCCGCAACGGCTGCACGCCCTCTCCGCCTCGGCGGGAGCCGCCGCTGCCTCTGCGCCCGGGACCGC